ACTGTTTAGCTGCAACTGATAATATAATTCACGAGGTTTCAAAATTGAACTGTAATTTTTTTTATATATATTCTTATTGTTCATTACGAATGTATGTTATTTTTTATTAAAAATTTTGTTTGGTAACCAGGGCAACCAATAAATAGAAAAATGGGTAGTTTGATGTCCAGATTAATAAACTTTTGTTTGGTAACCAGGGCAACTAATAAACTTTGGATTGTATATATTCAATTGGTATATTCAATGGACAGTTCCATGTATGCATAGTTTTTGTATGGTTTGTGTTTAGGTTTGGTTTATTTGATTTTGTATATGCTTTCTTGTGTGATTGTACTTGCAACTAATTAGAACTAATTTGTTTCCTGTGTGATTGTGTACTTGCAACTAATTAGAACTAATTTGCATAACTGGCTGATGTGTTGTGGAGTATTTTTATATTGCATAACATGTTTCTTTTGCTCTACTTTGGTGAATGAGACTTTGTTCTGCACATGAGCTTATGAATTTGGATTTGGGTTCGAGTTGAATAATGATATTTCATTTTTTTTTTTGAAGGTTTGGAAATGTCACAGACTTCAACCGCTAAAAAATTTAGAGGACTAGGACCAAGTAGATTGAAGTATGAAGATAGAACCTGTGATCAATGTGGAATCAAAGTTGCAGTTAAGATTGTTGGCCCCCAAATTCCAAACTTTCAGAAACTATATTACCATTGTGATAGACATAAATTTATTGGTTGGGCTAATCCAATAAATGAAGACGAAGTAATCATAAGAGAAGAAGTCAGCACAAGCGAGAAATCTGTTGTGGATCGTGAAAGCTACAAAGATGTGAAAATAAAGAAGAAACTTGATAAGATTTTTGATTTATTACTTGTGTTGTTTCTAGTTGTAATTGCAATGCTTGTTATTATTGTAATGAAATAAAAGATTGAGTATTTTTTATTTCTTGGACATGAATGATTAATTTCTGATATAAAAGCGGGTAGTGAATGAATATTTTTATTGTTTTTATTTTAATTGTGAGGTTCCTTTTAAGTTGTTCCTCTATAAGTTCAGGAATTTGGATCGATTATCATACAACTTCAACATAGTAAAATAAATGCAAGATTTTATTTTATTTTTATCTAAAGATAGAGGTTGGGGTACATAAGGAAAATAAAGAATACATTTTTTTTGGAGGGTCCTTAACAACACTATTACACCACAATAAAGAGTCCCTAACAACACTATTACACCACAATAAAGAGTCCCTAACAACACTATCACACAAAATAAATGTACCTAACAATAATATTACACCACAATAAAGAGTCAACCTACAAAACATGAGAAAGTGCATTTAAATCACCATTATCTTCAATTATTGGAAGGTCCCTGCATTAAAAAAAAAATATTAAAATAGTAAAGACTAAAAGATTATTAAATCTTAATTTACAAGGCATTAGATTTGATGTACCCTGTGATAAAAAGGGATCAAGTTGATATCCAAATGATTGAATGGACTATCGAAATTGATGTTGTATTTGCTCCCTATAAATATAAATAAAATAAATAAAAAGTATTAATTTTATTAACATTCTTGTAGAAAAATAATAAAAGTATCATTTGTTAGCCAAAACATTGAAAAACTTATTATTTACCTCATCTGTGTTGACATCATTTTGAGAAGATTGAGTCGGGCCACCTAAGTTGATGTTTGTATTTCCTCCCTATGCATTAAAATAAAATAAATAAAAAAGTATTAACTTTATAAGCGATGATGTTGAAAAAAATCATAAAACCATCATTCACCAATTGATTTATGTTAGGCCAAAACATTGAAAATTGAGATGGATATTGTGGACCATTATTTGCCTTTTCCGTGTTGACATCAATGGGTGAAAATTGAGCCGGGCCACCTAAATTGATGCTTGTGTTTCCTCCCTACACATTAAAATAAAAATAAATAAAATCTATTAATTTTATTAACATCATTGTATAAAAAAAATAGTAAAGCATCATTTACCCCTTGAGTCTTCTTTCTTGATCGGCTTGTATTTCCCACATTTTCTTTTCCCCTTTTTGTTTTCTTGCTCTTGTTTAAATGACGTGTTATTTGAGAATTTGTAACTCCCCTTGACTTGGCCGGAGGTGGATTGCGGACACGGACATTATCTTCATCAACCAATTCATCATATGAATCATCTATGTCCAAATCCTTCAAAAGACAAGTCACTTCTTTGTTTGCTTCTTCAATGATTTCATTCAACCTACTTCTTGTCTCCGGGTGAGATTTGCTCAAATGCACCAAGAATACGAATTCCTCATTGCATGATTCACAAATGTCAATTGAGAAACACCACTAGTTCCATGAGGAGTACATATTCTTTCAAACTCAGTACAAAACCTTAGTTCGGCTTTTCTTGACCACCGACTCATTATATATGGCTCAGGCAACACAATGATATTCATAGAAATGAAAACTTTTAGTGCATGTCTACATAGTATTCCCATTGTTTCGAAAAAATGACATGAACACTTTACTTCAATATCATACTTTTGAAAGAACACTTATACTTTTGAAAGAACACTTGCCTAACTTTTGAGTTGTCGTTGTGAGTCCGCAACTTGAATTCAAGCCAACAATTGCCAAAATCATTTTGATCAATAAGTGCAATATTCAAAGACTCCACAAATTCCCGCTTAATTTATAGATGGGGAAAGTATATACTTCAGCGGCGTGCGACAACAAGGGATTATTTTTAACAATTTGGCCCGGCCTCCCATGGCTACAATGAGCATCATCGTTTTTCTCAATCGACCTCCATTTATCTTGAACTTTTTCATAGTTCAAAACAAATTGATGCAAAGTAAGAGCCTTATTGCCCAAGTCTTTCAACACCCGATTTGTAACCTCACTTCTTGAAGTGGCTTGCAGACCTGCACAAAATTTGTCATTACTAAATGTTGTAGCCCATCTCTTTCGCAGTTTATACATCCCCTTTAGCCATCTATGATCACCAAGGTTGTACTGCTCAATCATTAGCTTCCATGTCTCTTCAAACTCATCTTCAGAATCACAATATGACATGCATTTATGCCATAAATTCTTAAACACCGACTCACCATTCAAACTTCCTAAATGGGACAGAGCATTTTGATTGATGTGCAACTGACATAAGCGCTGATGCGAATGAGTAAAAACTTTATCAATAGCATTCATCATAGTCTGACATTGATCAGAAAATACAACTTGTGGTTGTTTTCCATTCATAGATTCAAGAAAAGTCGAAAACAACCACTCAAAGGAACTCTCCGTCTCATCAGACAAGAAGGCAAGGCCAAACATCACATTCTTTTTATGGTAATTTATACAAACAAATGGAGCACAAATCAAATTGTACTTATTTGTTTTGTAAGTTGTATCAACTGATAGCATATCACCAAAAAAATCTTAATCAATTGCACATCTATGATCCCTGAAGAAAAAGTTCATGATTCGATTACCATCATCCAATTGAACATTCCAAAAGAATTGATTTTCTCCATTAGCCTTGTTTATAAAATATTGAAGCAAACAAGCAGCATCTTCATCTTCAACTTTGGTATGCCTTTTAAGACGACTAAAATGATCATATGCGTCTTTTCTAGTAAAACCTAAGTTTTGTGCACCATGAGCCTCATTTTCCATAAAAGAAACAACATAGCAACACTAATTCCTGCATTCACCATAGCTTCTAGAGTTGATTTTTTGGCATGTGTTATGTTGCGTGATGATCTCAACAAATGAGTTTGATCCTGCTGAATTATTTTATGATTGTGTTCCATATAGAACCTGCTCACTTTCCATTCACCTCCTCTCTCCCTCGCAACTCTAAGTCTTGCTTTGCATTTTGTTCTAGTTATTGATTTTAGATACTCCGGAATAATATTCTTAGAAAGTTTTTCATCTTTAACTCCTTCACAAGAACATTCAAATTCTTTCATTTGCAGTTCTTTAGTGCCCGAAAAGTATCGTTAATCACCTTTTTTAACACTAAAACCTTTGGCATGCGCATATTGACAGTAAAGTAAATATGCTTCTTCAATGTTATTTATTTCATGCCCTCTGATAGTCTATTTTCTAAATGCTCTACTATGGATTCAAAAGATTGAACCTCCGGATTTGGTGTTGAAGAACACCCAAAATCTTGTTCTTGAAGCTCTTCACCATTATCCTCGATGTCTTCACATTGCTCCGCAAAATAATTCTCCATTAATTTAGTAATACCTACATACAACAAATATATCAACTCATAAACTTACACAAAGAAAACAAAATAAATAAATAAAAAATATTAATTTTTAATCTATCACATGCTAAGTTCTTACACAGTCTGTTCAAAAAAATAAACACTCTGTTCAAAAATAAACTTCACTTTAATGCCAAGTCTTTTTTTTTGCAATTCAAAAAATACCAACAAATGCCAAAGAGTTTATGCAAAACAAGAACATGGTTGTATACCAACACCACAAGTGCAGATTCCATGAAAAAAAAAAAAAAAAAAAAAATGGTAAAAATTCCAAATTGTTAACACATATCTAGAAGCACACAACCCCTGGACTCCACTAGCCAAGGAAGATTTAGCTGTATTTTTTACCACTTTAAACTATTAACAAGAATGCTGCAGAAGAACAAAATATAAATAATAAATATTTTCTCAAATGGAAGAGAAGATATGGTGAAAGAAGGAAAAAGAATAAAACCGAACATGAATCACATTCCTCCAAGTTCCCCATTATACCCAAATATGAATCACATCCTAAACTATCTACAAAAATGCAGTTGCACAATCTACAAAACACATGAAACCAAACAATAAGACAATAAACAAATGCAGTAAAATGCAATTTATATCTGTGGTTCAAGAATAACTTATGTGATTATGGAGCGCGATTTCGGACGATTTTAGGTGCAATTTCGGGCGATTTTTGGTGCGATTTTTTTTTAGTCGAGAGTTTTTTTTTTTTTTTTTTAGTTCACTCGACACGACGATTTCAGATCTTAATCTCGCTTTCACTGTTTACAGATCTTAATTTCGCTTTCACTAATCATGGTATAGTTACAACATATTAAAAAAGTTCTAAAATTATTTATTGAAGAACAGTGAAAATGGGTACTACCCTTACGGTAGCATCGACTTAACCGTAAAATAGGATTCCACACACATTCTACAAAATTGCCTCACATCAACTTCTCTCTCACACACGCACACAAAATTATTCTGCTTACTACCTGTATAGACTTATAGTGCTCTTATTCTCTTACATTTCAGGTTCGCACTCTTATACACAGCAAGAAGCCGATCGAAGGTTAGATAAAACTCCAAATTCTTTCAATTATTCGAGTTTATCTTCTTCTGCCTCAGTTGTTTGCTTGAGCTGTTGATCTGCGTGTTAACGATTACGAAAACTGTTATGTTTACGGTCCGTTAAATAGTTTTGTGTTTCTTTTTCCTTTTTGACTGGATTAGTTCGTATAATGGTGATGGGTTTTGATTATAGTTGTTTTGCTGCAATTGATGTGAAGAAAATCGTGTTATGGCTTGAAAGCTCTGATATGAATGGAAGTGTGGGTTTTAGAATAAAGTAATGGTGTGTGAATGTGTTGTTGACTTGTTGTTTAGGTCATATAGTCTGGGAAAAGCATTTATGCAACTGATTTTTAGAAGACTTTTCATAGGAAGGTGCTTGCTGCCCGGGTTTAGTTTTAGTTGTTCATGTTGTTCGTTTGCTTTAGATGGTGAGAAATTAAACGTTGCTTTCCTTTTTTCACCAAGAAAATGCAAGTACTGATCTATTTTGAAAGATCACATTTCAAAGTATGTTGTGCACGCAGTAATGAACCTGTGAAGAAATGCCATTAAGATCTTGTTCTGTGTGTAAAATTTGACCTGTGGAGTACTTGATGAGCATGGGGGTGATGATTTTTTAATATTGTACGCTTCCCCAAGTATGCTATTCTATCATATGTGAAATATGAGACAGGTTTTGTATATACTCTTTCCGAATCAGGATCAACAACTTCCACCTTAGTTTTAGAGAGCATAAGTGACGATGGCTGAGGGAGAAGATATTCAACCACTCGTTGTTGATAATGGAACTGGAATGGTCAAGGTGATGTTTTGATAATATATCCTTTCACATTTAATCATGTTTTAAGTAGAACCTCAATTATGGTAATGCTGGTTAATTCTATCTGCTCTTATATATTTCCTTTTTTACAGGCTGGTTTTGCTGGTGATGATGCCCCAAGAGCAGTTTTTCCGAGCATAGTTGGTCGTCCACGGCATACAGGCGTGATGGTTGGGATGGGGCAAAAGGATGCTTATGTAGGTGACGAGGCTCAATCCAAAAGAGGTATTTTGACACTGAAATATCCAATCGAGCATGGTATAGTCAGCAACTGGGATGACATGGAGAAAATCTGGCACCACACATTCTACAATGAGCTTCGTGTGGCTCCCGAGGAGCACCCGGTTCTGCTCACAGAGGCACCTCTCAATCCGAAGGCCAACAGAGAGAAAATGACTCAGATCATGTTCGAGACCTTCAATGTGCCGGCTATGTATGTTGCTATCCAGGCTGTCCTTTCCCTCTATGCCAGTGGGCGTACAACTGGTATGAATCTATAAAAGAGATGTGAATTTCAATGTTGGGGGAGGGGTTTGGCAACAATGAGATAAAATTCATCGTTAAATCCGTTGTCCAATCTAATTTTTAGCTAAAAACTTATGTCAGTTAATCTGAAATTATTCCAAATACACATCTCAACAAACTTTTAGCAATGTTTGTGGAGGTTGATTATCATCCAACAACCTAGACATTTTAGGTCCATTCTTAATTTCTTCAATTTACAGGTTTTTACATGAAGTTACTTTATATGTCACACACTACATATTTCACACATACACACACCGAACAATTGCAAATTCAACAATTGTATAAATTTAATTTTTTTAATGCTATTTATTATTCAATACATGAATGATTTTGAAATCTTCAAAATCCACATTACACCCTTATCCAGGTCCCTCTATCCAAACACAACCTTATAATCTCTGTTTTT